ACTCGTGTGAACATTCGTATTCGGGTGCACATTCGTATTCGGGTGCACATTCGTACTTGTGTGCGCATTCGTACTTGTGTGCGCATTCGTACTTGTGTGCGCATTCGTGTGCGCATTCGTGTGAGGCGAAGAGGGATGCTTGGGGCTGCCGGTGAAATTGCCTCGGACGTAGCCAAGTGTGTAGCGTCTACATACAGTGGCGTTCTGCACAGCCATGAGTGTCGTCTTCATTACGTAGACGAAACACGATGGCGGTTGTAATGCGCTGCCAGAGGTGTCGACGAATCGCTGGGCGGACTCGAACCAGCCAATGCACTTTTCGTTGTACGGAACAAGGACTGGCGGGTCGTAGAACAGAGCATTGCAGCAACGCATGCTTCGATGAACGAAACTCCGCAACCTCTGAGCATGTGGGTTCTCATAAACCGGCTCGGCCATCATCGGTCCAGTATGATTCGTTCCGTAACCTGGTCCGCTGTGATAACTTGGTCCAAATGAGTAGTTTCCAATGGGTAGAGGCTCTTCACCTCCTTTTTCCGGGATCGCGATGGAGAACGAGTTGGATGGCTGACGAAGACCGTTCGGCTCCGGCTCCTTTCGGTTAAATAGACAGGCCAGAACTTTCATCATCTCGTAACTATATGGATTCTCCAGCACACGGTCTATAACTGAGCCAAAGTCGATCGCGGTCCCAACGCCTGTGCACCTCTCGAGTAACTTGGCAGCACTCGGCCTCTCAGATGGGTCCGGTGATAACATCTCCGCAATCAACTGCGCTGCCTTCTCGTTACTCACACCCTCCACCTTCCGCGTCCTTTGCAGCTTTGTCAGGACTTGAAAACGCTCCATGGTAGTACCAAACGGCGCATGTAACATCTCGTAAAATACCACACCCAAAGCGTAAATATCCGCCGCCTGATCATAACGACCACCGGCTTCTACCTCCGGGGCTATATAGAAATGCGTACCAACACCACTACTCAAAGAAGTCGTCTCAGACAAACCTACTAAACCTGCCTTCCCCGATGTAGAAGGCGACATGTTCTCCAAACTCTTACTCAGTCCCAAATCACCAATCTTCACCTGATATAGATGCGTCCTCTCAACACCACTCGTCTTCTCACCGCTGCTTGTTTTCTCGCCGCCACCAATCTGCTCACCACTGATTTTCTCTCCGCTGGTCTTCTCACCGCTGGTCTTCTCACTGCTGGTCTTCTCACTACCGGTCTTCTCACTACCGGTCTTCTCACTACCGGTCTTCTCATTATTGTTATTGACCTTTTCTCCATTTCCTTTCTCTCCATTTGTCTTCTCTCCATTTGTCTTCTCTCCATTCGTCTTCTCACAACTTGCCTTCAGAAAAATGTTTTCAGGCTTAACGTCTCGATGTAAGAGTCTGTTTTTGTGCATGTAGGAGAGGCCTTCTAGGATCTGGACGAAGAGGTCCCAGGCAAGTTCCGGTTGGTCGCAAAGACGGTTCGAAATGAGTTTGCGTAGCGTACAGCCGTCCACATACTCCATCACGATGTACAGTTTGGTTCTACGGATGCTGGTTCTACTCATGTCAGTGCTGCTGTATAATGTGTTGCATGAATCGTCGCGTCTCCGCCAGGCACTCAATGACCCCGAAGCGGCGGCGTTCTCGAAGTAACTGTGCGAAGTGGCCCCCACACGTCTGACACCACCGGGAGTGCGGCCTTCAGAAGTAAGGAGGCTCTGGGGACTCGTTCCAGTCACTGAGGCGTTTCCAGGCTTGACTCTGTGCTCTCCGCGGATGAGTGCATCACCTTCTGCACAGACACCTTCCGGGCAGACACCTTCCGGGCAGACCGACCGGCACACATTGCTATCTACTGTGGACAGAGCACCAACCTCTTTCGACTGAGATTTCTCTGCGAGTTCTTTTGTAGGCGCTATTGTCGGGCTGCCCGGCTGCGTGCCTATCGGGGAGTTCACTTGGATGCTTGCAGGGGGAAACCATATTCCGGACTTTTCCGCATGAGAAGAGTCCTCATCAAACCGCACCACGTTACTCTCGCTACTCTCGCCAAAACCAACGGTGTAATTACTGTCCGTATACGAGCTTGCCGGGGTCACTCTGGTCGCCTTCTTCCAAAAGGAGTCCACCAAATCTTTCGACGGCTCCCTTCTATCACCGTCTCCTGATGGCCCGACGCCTATTCTTTGGTCGTCCAACCTTTGGTCGTCGTGGTCCTGAAGGGCCGCCAGGTCAAAGCTGCCTGAGGTTCTCAAACCGCCATCTTCCGAACCCGATTCCCAGACTACGGACTTGCTACTTCGGGGACCACCGCGGTTGAAATCGCGGCTGAAACCGCGGTTGAAACCTCTCAATTCCGCCTCGCTATTTCCGACCCTGAATCTTCCAGCCTGGCCCTTTCCGGCCTCTCTATCTGCCCTCTCGCTCTTTCCTGCTTCGCTTTTTCCCGTCTCGCACGCCTGGCTCTCTCCAACATCCCGCTCAATCCACGCAGTAAAGTACCGGACCACGTTCTTATGCTGCAACCGAGCAAGGTTCGAAGCCTCGCGAAGCATAAACTCCAAGGACTCACACTGAGGGCCCATTTGAATACACTTAATCGCATAAATGCACTCTTCATTCAATCGCGATTGACATTTGGTGACAAATCTGAACAAAATTCCAAGTAACTAGAGGGCATGAAAGATTATGCCACGAAGGGCCAATATCATGAAAGCCATCAAGGACTCATGTCCGCCGGAATCGTGCTAGCAATGTGTAGATCTTACCCGAATCCGCCTTTGCCCAGCAAATGAATTTCCTTGAAGTCATTTCTGTATCTACTGTTAGCATTCTCCGGTGCCATTTCGGCGGTGCCACCGACGGACGGACCTTCACTTATCCTTTTCAATTGCAAGAGGGCTGGCTCAGCTCTGAATTAGGTCGGAAAAAGTCCGAGGCAGGGCGGTTTCACACCTGGGGCCGGTTTAAGGGGCGCCGTTTGAAAATAAAAAGAAGGCGGTAGTTGGACTGAGCTGGGAAATGGTTTTACCGGGTAAAAAAGTCTCGCCGCACACGTGTGTGCTCAGCTTTTATTGTTTGATAATCTGCACAATGTCTTCGTCCTGCAGCGTATGATCCTTTCCGACCTTTTGGGGATTGTGTTTCACAGAATTACCCCAGACCAGAGCGCACTTGAAATGGATCAGTAGTTGCTTGTGGATTTTAAGGCAGAGGTCCTTTATGGTGGCCTTGATGCGCCTTAATATAATGGGTTGGGCATAGTCGGGTGCTGCTTGCCCCTTGGTCTTGGTGTAAATCCTGATGAGATCGAGATACTCCCATATTTTCTCAACTAGCTCGTCCAAATTCCATCCATGTCTGGCGGAAATCATGCAGTAGTGATCGTAGCGAGCGAGAATATCAAGTTCCTCGACGGTGCATTCATCGACCTTGTTCATTACGTAGATACAGGGGATATAAACGCAGTTACCCTCAATTGCATCAATCAAGTCGTCCACGGTATGCTCGCCGCGAATGACAACACTGCCATTGAGAATATTGTATTCGGAACATATCATCTTGACCATCTCGTCACACAGAGCAGGCCCCTTGGCCCCGGGTCCAGAACCTGTTTGAGCGGATTGGGTTCTGCTGATTATAATTCCGCCTTTATCTTTGCGAGTAATAGTGATATTAGGAGGCCGTTTGTTCAGGCGAATTCCGAAGCCTTCCAACTCCTTTTCGATCAGCCGTTTGTGGTGCAATGGCTTCATTGCGTCCAAGACAATAAGGATGAGGGAACACGTCCTAGCCACTGCAATGACCTGCTTACCTCGTCCCTTACCGTCCTTGGCACCCTCGATAATCCCCGGCAAGTCCAGTAACTGCAACTTTGCACCCTTATACTTCAAGACACCAGGTACACACGTCAATGTTGTAAATTCGTACTCGCCCTGCTCCGAGTACTGCCCCGTAAGCTTCGTAAGTAAAGTCGACTTTCCCACCGATGGGAAGCCTATCAGTCCAATCCGGGCATCTCCGGTTTTCGTCACATCGAAACCTTCCCCTCCACCGCCACCACCTTTGGAGCCTCCCTCAATCTACAACCACAATTGTCAGTGGCCCTGTCCTAACGCCCACACATGCCCTTGAGGACAACCCAGGCACCTCCCTGTACACTCACGGCTACACAACAAATATGTCCTGCCCTCTTGGGTCACATGCCCCAAGATGGTATGCGCCTTAGTGGCCTACACCCCCTCCC